CTTAAAAAAAAAAAAAAAAGACACAGCTTCGTAACCCAAGGCTTGGCAACCTACGGTGGGTGCACCGGATCGGGCCCACACCCGTTTTCCCACATGGACCGTCTGTTGGCACACACCCTGTGCCTTCATCTCAGACTCTGGTCGAGGCTGCTTCTGTGCTGCAACAGCAGACCGCAGTGACCGTGCAGAGACCACGTGGCCCGCAGAGTCTAACACCTTTACCATCTTCTGGCCCTTTGCAAAAAAAAAAAGTTTGCCGAGCCCTGTTGAAAATTCTGGTTGTTCGCTTGCTCGTGGCCAGAAGTGGAGACTCGAATCCCTAAATGGCAAAGTGCTGTCCTGCGGGGTTTGTTTTTCATTTTTCCAAGAGTTAATTTGTGATGAGGAAACAACATGGATGCTAACGATAGCAAGTTGTCTGTTGCACGCTTGTTACGCGCCAGCCCTCAGTGAACGTCCCATGTCTGGATGATTTCTGAGATGTCGGATTTGTTCTCCTTGTACTTCCGGTTCTATTCGCAGGCCTCGGGACAGAAAGCAGAAGGCAGTGGAGGTCGAGGCTCTCCGAGTGTTTCACAAGTAATCCTGTCTGTTGCCCCAGCGGGGAGAGGAAAGAGGGAACGTGTGGAGACATTGAGTACCAGCTGGGAAGCAGGGCCTCCATGTCCAGCTGTGCGGTTTGTTCACTGCACAAAGACAACTGGCCTTGAGGCTGGGTAGGGCCGCCGCCATGCAGGCTAGCTGGGTCCCCCGGGGAGGAAGTCAAGGCCTGGGGTTGGTGGATGATGAATCCCAGGCCTCACCAGGGTCCTTCGCAGGATCCAGACAGACAGACATTGGATGCACCACGAGGACAGCAAGGTGAGGGCTTGGAGTTGGAATTCACTTGATTTGGGGAAAAAGTCGACACTATTTTTCCCCTCTCTCCTTTTTTGAAACAGCTTAACTGAGATAGAATTCACGTGCCATAAAATTCACCCTCTTAAAGGTACCGTTCAGCAGCTTTAAAGGTCCAGTTCACAAGACTGTGCCCCCATCCCCACCATCTAATTCCAGAGCATTTCACTGGCCCGAAATGAAACCCCACTCCTGTTAGCAGTCACTCCGCATCCCCCCTGACCCCAAGCCCCTGGCAACAACCACTAACCTACTTTCTGTCTCCATGGGATTTGCCTGGTGGGGACATTTCAGAACAGAATCATGTAATATTTAACCTTTTGCTGTCTAGCTCCTTTCACTTAGCGTCATGTTCTCCAGGCCCATCGGTGTGGCGGCAGGATTTCTTTCCTTCTTAAGGCTGAAGAATATTCCATTGTGTGGACACACCATGCGTGTTTATCCCTTCATAAGTTAATAAGACATGTGCATTATTTCCCCTCTTTGACTACGGCAAATATTTCTGCCAGGAACATCCGTGTACACGCTTTTAGGTGAACGTAGGTGTTCATTTTCTCTTGGGAGTGGAATTGCTGCTAGGTACTCCGCTAACTTCGTGTTTAACCTTCAGAGGGACTGCCAGATTGTTTTCCGTTTGACCTTCCTGCCAGCAGTGTGTGCAAGTTCAACTTTGCCACATCCTCACCAGCACCCGGGATTGCCTGTCATTTTGATTGCAGCCATCCTAGGGGGTGTGAAGTGGCATCCCGTGGTTTTGATGGGCGTTTCCCTTATGACGGGTGATATCGAACTGACATCTTTTTGTGAGTGTACTGGCCATCTGTTCAAATTCTCTGGGGAAATGTCCCTTCAAAACCTTTGCCCAGGGGCGCCTGGGTGGCTCATTCGGTTGAGTGTCCGACTCTTGAGCTCAGCTCAGGTCTTGATCTCAGGGTCGTGAGTTCAAGCCCCGCACTGGGCTCCACACTGAGTGAGGAGCCAACATAAACAAACAAACAAACAAACAAAACCTTTGCCCATTTCTAAATCGGTTATTTATCTTTTATTGTTGATTTGTAAGAGTTCTTTATATGTTTAGGATACAAGTCCCTATCAGAGATATCATTTGCAAGCATTTTCTCCATTCTGTGAGTTGTTGATATGACCCATTTCTTGCTCACTTTTTGAGTTTGTGGATGTATGGAGATTCATACCTGCTAGGAGTATGTGAACTTCCCACCTGCCCTGCGCTGTAGAGAGAGATGAATCTTCAGATGGGAAGGATGAGTGGAGAGAAAACCACCCAGCCTTGGTCACACCAGCCTGCCCACCCCGTCATGGCCTCCTACCCGGATCTTGCTATTGAGGATCCTGTCGTTGATGTCCTCATCAAAGCATTTCTGCGGGTACACGTCGATGCAGTGAGTCCTCAGATTGTGCTGGATCTGGGGACGCAGGTGACCACATCTCATCCTGTGCACTCTGCCTCCTCCTTGCCCCCACTGACCCCATCACCCTGGGCGCCCAGATCACCCTGCGCCTGAAGGTCTCTCGCTCCTCAATGGTCAGGCTGTCGGCCCGGGCAATCACAGGCACCACGTTCACGGTCCAGCATAGCCGCTGTAGGAACTCAATGTCCAGGGGCCGCAGACTGCGGCAATCATGGTGGTGATGGCAGTGGTGAGTATGTGAGTGAGGGGGTGCCAGCCCACAGCCCACCCCAGGGGTCTCCTCCTCCTCCTCCTCCTGCTCTCTGCCCCGGGCAGGGGGCCCTCCCCCAGCAGGCCCAGCCACCTCACCAGTGCCCGGTGGGCGGCACGAAGTATACACAGCAGTGCACCCGGGTGTCGGGGATGTGGCGCTGGCGGGTGATGAGGATCTCCTCCTGCAGGTACCGCTCATACTGTTCATTGATGTAGCCTAGGATGGGGTCCCAGCTGGGGCAGCAGATGGACCCGACCTCAGAGCCCCACCCCTGGGAGCCCCACCCCATCCCCCTGCTAGGAAGACCAATCGCCCTGGTTGGCCCAGGACATAGGACTTTCAGTCCTGCACAACCCAAGGCCCTTGGTTACCCAGCACCCTCCTCCTACTCCCCTGAATCATCTGAGAGGCCCCCTGCCATTCTCAAGCTGGGCCCTCAGCTTCCCTGTTCCTAAAATGGGGACGAGAAGGGCTGTGGTATTGAAAGAGATGAATTGTCACAGCCTGGTTCAAACCACCATGGACGCTCGCCCCATTGCCACAAGGATCTCCTGAGTCCTCTCCCTTCGTCCCTTCTGCCCCTGCCGGGCTACTGTCAACACAGCACCCCAAAAGATCCTTTTACAAACAGGAGTCAGAGCACATCCCTTTTTGCCTCAGCCTGAGGTGGCTGACAGAAAGCCAAAGTCCTTACGTTGCACTACCAGGCCCTACATCATCCCACTGTTGCTTCCTGTCTGTCCTCTCCTCCTGCTTTTCCTGCCCTTCACACACCGCCAGCCACACCAGCCTTCCACCAACAAACCCACCTCGGGGCCTGTGCCCGAGCCACTCTGCATTGCACGCTCTCCCCCGCATGAGCACACAGCTCCCTCTCTCATCTCCTGGCAGTCTGCCCAAGTGTTCTCCTTATCTGGGAGGCCTTGCTTGACCACTCTGCTTAAAATCACAAGCCCCCCGACAGCTCCCTACCCCTTTCATGCTCAGAAACGTCCTGCTTGGATGACAGAGTTGAGGCTCACCCTATGTATAACTGATTTATTGTGCTCATTGCCCCCCGCCCGCCTTCCGCCCCACAACAATGTAAATTTCGTGTAGACAATGTTCATCTGTTTTGTTCACTGCCGTATCCCTGAGACTAGAACAGACCTCGCACACAGGACTTGCTCTATGAAGCACCGTGTGCAGGGCTGGCTCCCCGGGAGTGCAGACGGAGCAGTCCCGCAGCCTCCGTGCTTTGGAGGGCCTGCACTTCGTTGAATGTTCTGGGGTGGTGGTTTGACAATTCTTCATACTTTTTTGAACAAGGGGACCCACATTTTCATCTCATTGGGTCCCACAAATTATGCAGCCAGTCCTGATTTTGTGTGTGTGTGTGTGTGTTACCAACCACTGTCACAGGGTTGGGCTCTCATCGAGAGCCTAGAATCACTCTGCAAGGTGGGTGTCATCATTCCCAAGTGACAAAAAAGGAAACCGAGGCTCGGAGAGCTTCCATGAGCAGTTCCCAGGTTACATGGCTGGAGAGTGGTCTAGCCCAGCGGTCCTAACTCTGGAGTGTGGGCTTCTAACCCTGCAAAGCCATAACCTTTATTGATCAACTACGTAAGTGTGCCAGCCAGCAAGCTCTGGCCTTTCCATACTTAACTCCCTTCAATCTTGGAGGGATGGTTGCACACACCCATCATACAGACGAACAAACTGAGATTCAACAATGCCACAGCTGGGTTAGGTTGCTTCAGGGCTAGGCTGTTTCCCCCAGGCCAGAGGGGCAGGGGGAGGGACCACCAGGGCTTGGCCCCCACTCCCGAGGACCCACCACTTGTCGTTGTTGATCTGGTCTCCGAAGCCAGGTGTATCGGTCACTGTCAGCTTGAGCTTCACGCCCTTCTCCTCGATGACTGTTGGGGAAGAGCAGAGTGGGGGGAGATTGGCCTGGGTGGGGTGGGGGTAGGGGTGAGGGTGGGGGGCCACTCACCGTGCGTCACCGACTGCAGCTTCAGCGTCTGGGGTGTGGGCGTCCCCAGGCCCGGTACGGTGGACTTCCACATCTTGGACTTGAAGAGGGTGTGCACCATTGTGGACTTGCCCAGCCCGCTCTGCCCTGCGGGTAACCAGAGGACAGCAAAGGTGGTGGAGGTTTTAGGCAGTGCTTCTCAGGCTCTTAAATTGTTTTAGAAAGTGAACTGTTTTGTAAGCATAACATAAATACAGAGAAGTGGGTACTATCGTCAGGGTTCCCCTCAGTGCTTACCCCCCCTTTTTATTGAGGCAAAACTCATACGATAAAAAATGAACCATTAGCCTTTTAAAGTGAACAATTCCCCCTGCTTGTTCTCTCTCTCTCCCCCTGACAAATAAATAAAATAAAAAAAAAATAAAGTGAACAATTCAGTGGCATTTAGTACAGTCCCAGCGTTGTGCGCCCATCACCTCTGTCTAGCTCCTGTTAAAAAGAAAACCGCACCCTGGGACGCCTGGGGGGCTCAGTTGGTTAAGTGTCTGCCTTCGGCTCAGGTCATGATCCCAGGGTCCTGGGATCGAGTCCCACATGGGGCTCCCTGCTCAGTGGGGAGTCTGCTTCTCCCTCTCCCTCTGCTGCTCCCTCTGCTTGTGCTCTCTTTTAAATAAATAAATAAATAAATAAATAAATAAATAAATAAATAAATAAATAAAATCTTTAAAAAACAACAACAAAAAAGAAAACCGCAGGCCCAAAATGACATCACTTAGGCCAAGTCCCCAAACGAAGGCTTAATATCTGACCTAATTGCAGTTCCCACCTCCCCCAAAATGGAGTCTTGACTGGTAGGTCAGGAATTTTCTGGTCAGTACCAATGAGGTAATGTCACATGGGCCTCTCCATCCCCCAAAGAGAGAGGAGGTAAACCGCCTAGGACCCTCTGCTTCTCTCCTAAGGGAAAACGGCCTTGCCTGGAACAATCCTTTCCTTTTGCTAATAACTTCCTTGCACCCCTCCCCTCCCCACTTCTTTTTTTTTTTTAAAGATTTTTTTATTTATTTATTTGAGAGAGAGAACGAGAGAGAGAGCACATGAGAGGGGGGAGGGTCAGAGGGAGAAGCAGACTCCCCGCCAAGCAGGGAGCCTGATGCGGGACTCGATCCAGGGACTCCAGGATCATGACCCGAGGTGAAGGCAGCCGCTCAACCAACTGAGCCACCCAGGCGCCCCTCCCCTCCCCACTTCTTATAAAAACCTTCCAACAACAACAACAGCCACCACCCCAAAACCTTCCATGCTGCACAGCTCCTTGGAGCTCCACTCTACTTGTCGGATGGGATGCTGCCCAACTCATGGATCATGTAATAAAGCCAATTAGATCTTCAAACTGACTAGGTTGAATTTTTTTTCATTTTTTATTTTAAGTAGGCCCCACACCCAGCATGGAATCTAATGCAAGGCTTGAACTCATGACCTTGGGATCAAGACCTGAGCTGAGATCAAGAGTTGGATACTCAACAAGCTGAGCCACCGAGGCGCCCCTGAATTTTGTTTTCTAACACTCAAAAACATTTGCATCGCCCCCGAAAGAAACCCCACAGACATCAGCAGTCCCTCCCCTTTCTCCCTCCACTGTCACCCCTGGCAACCACGAATCATCTTTCTGTCTCTGTGGGTTTACCTACTCTGGACATTTCCTATAAATGGAATCATGCAATATTCATCCTTTTGTGTCTGGCTGCTTCCCCTAAGTATCCCCTTTTCAGGGTTCATCCACGTCATACCAGCTGTGGGTGCTTCCTTCTTTTTCGTGGCTGAATAATGTTCCATCACAGGAATAGACCACTTTGTGTTTATCCATTCAAGCATTTCACAAATTAAACAGCCCATGGATACAGCACTAAGTCCAGAGATGGAACACATAGTTCCCCACAAGCCCAGTCACGCCCATCTCAGTAGCTATTGGCCTCAAAACCCCAGGGACAGCCACTTACTTCCCCGACTTCCAGCAGCAGGGAGCAGCTCTGCCCACCCTTGTCTTAGAGAAACACACAGCCTGGGCTCTCCTGTCTGGCTCCTTTCACTTGACACTATTTGGCGAGATACACCCAGACTGTCCATTCTCCCTGCTGTGGGGGCTTCTCAAACTGTGAACCCCACCTTGCAGGAGGGAACGCCTTGTTTCACACTGCAGGACACACCTTTGTGTACATAACTGACGTGGTCCTTAGGGATGTGCTGTCCTATCTGCGAGTCACACTTGACCCCTGCTGAGGGCGATATAGACAGTCTGAGCTGAGCCACCAGTGGCAAATGCAAACCAGATTGTGCAGACTTGGGTGTGCCAAAAAGAATGCAAAAGTTCTCATGGATCATTTTTTACGTGGATTACATGTCATGTCATGAGAGTATTTTGGAATAGTCTGGGTTAAATAAAATAAATGTTTAAAATTAATTTCTCCTGTTTCTCTTCACTTTTTTACTTTTACTTTTTTTAAGATTTTTTTTTTAAAGATTTTATTTATTTATTTGACAGAAAGAGACAAAGTGAGAGAAGGAACACAAGCAGGGGGCAGTGGGAGAGGGAGAAGCAGGCTTCCCGAGGAGCAGGGAGCCTGATGCAGGGCTCGATCCCAGGACCCTGAGATCATGACCTGAGCTGAAGGCAGACGCTTAACGACTGAGCCACCCAGGCACCCCTTCACTTTTTTAAAGGTGGCTACTGGAAATTTTTTAAATTACGTTATGTGGCTCACGCTATATTTCTACTGGACAGCACTGCCTTAGAATAATACTCTTCAGGAGCCCACAGGGTTGCATCCATTGGTCTGTCCTATGAGTCCCAGCCCGTCACTCACCCACCACCATGATGTTGAACTCAAACCCCATCTTCATGGCCTTGATCTTCAGCTGGTCCAGCACGGCTTCTATGCCCACGTAGCCAAGCATCTCGCAGGGTGGTGTCCTGGGGCTGGAGGGTCTTGATGAGCAGGGGGAGGGGGACCGCCTCATGGGGTCCATGGGGGTCAAGGGCACAGCAATGCCTGTCATCCGGGTGGGTGGAGAGAAGGGGGTCACTGGGGGTCCAGAGGCGGACCCCTGAATTCTCATTTCTGGACTCTGGCTCCTGAGCTCTGCTGCCAGGCACTCCCCCACATTATATCCCGTAATCTACCCATCCTCCACGTCTTCATGGCTCAAGGGCCTTGGTGTGAGGTACTTGGAGGAGCTCTTTCAGGGGAGGCTGAACCTTCTCCCTGAGATGCACAAGCCCACAAATCTGTTCCTCCCCTCTCCCCCCAGCTCCTTCCTGCCCCCACCCATGGCCCAGGCAGGATCCTTGCTCAGATAAGCCCCCCGCCCACCCCAGCAGAATGTGGCTAGCCTGGCAGAGCCCAGGGTCTAGACCCATGGGGACAGAGAGAAAGGGAAAAGCAGCTTTTGTGTGGCACCTGATGGCCTTGGGTCTCTGAGGGAGCTTCAGGGGGCTGTCCTGTCCTGGCAGACCCTGGTGTGTGTGATGAGGGGGAGGGGACAGGGCGACAGTTAACTGAAGAATCTGAGCTCCACCCCTTTCCCCTCAGTGGGTTGCGTGGGGGCTCCTCTACAGGAGGGAGCTGAGGGCAGGGCAGGTAAGCTCCTCCAGGGTCCTTTCTGAACACTCCCCTAAATCCTTACAATGACGCCGGCCTAGTGTTACAGACAAGAACCCAGGGCCTCTGGGCAGTTCCCTTGCCCAGGGTCACCTAACTGGGCTAAGCGGGCTTCAGCTGGCCCCCCTGACTTCCAAATTCATATCCCTTAATCACTCTGCTAGGAGAAGCCAACCCGTGACCCATAGCTGGAAAGCAGAACATCCGTGTGTTCTCTTTGGGCTGTCCATTGCTGGTGCCACAGTGTTTTAAATCGCCGGCACTGAAAAATCAGAAGATTGATTTAGGAAATATTCACCCCCACATGTTGTCTGTGCATAACATTGCTCTGGGGGCCCTCTATGGTAGCTTGTTTAATAATCATCCCAGTGCTCCCTGCTTGGTGGGAGGCCTGCTTCTCCCTCTCCCGCTCCCCCTGCTTGTCATCCCTCTCTCACTATCTCTCACTCTGTCAATTAAATAAATACATAAAATCTTTAAAAAAAAAAATCATCCCAGCGCTGTGAAGCCAGTGCCGTTACTCCCTCCAGTTTACAGAGAGTCTGAGTCAGTTGCTCAAGGTCACCTAGTGAGGAAGCGGCATGGTGGGATCTGAGTCCATGTGCTCACCCTCTAACACTTCTCTTTTTTTTTTTTTTAAGATTTTATTTATTTATTTGACAGAGAGAGACACAGCGAGAGAGGGAACACAAGCAGGGGGAGTGGGAGAGGGAGAAGCAGGCTCCCCGCTGAGAAGGGAGCCTGATGCGGGGCTCGATCCCAGGACCCTGGGATCATGACCTGAGCCGAAGGCAGACGCTTAACGACTGAGCCACCCAGGCGCCCCTCCAACGCTTCTCTTGTTCACAGGAACATCTAGACTTCCAGTGCGTGTTAGAGAATGTAAGCCCTGGAGATTCTGGGCCCAGCCCACAGCTGATGAGCTGCCCTCTTTAGCTGGGCCATGAACTCTCCAGTTTGCCATAGTCCTCATCCCTCCCTGATGTGTCCCTGATAAGATGTTTCTTATACCTAGTCCATCTCACTCAGTTCTTTCTCACCTGTTTCCTGGCATGTAAGCAGTCCCCGGTTCCAGGTGTTGGCATTTTCTCTGAAAGCCCAGATAGTAAAGATGTTGAGCTTTGTGAGTCAAAACATCTCTATTGCACTTACCCTTCAGCCCTGCTGTCATAGCGAGAAAGCAGCCACAGACTGGTAAAGGGTGCGGCTGTGTGCCCATAAAACTATTTACAAAAGCGGGAGGTGGCTTGCTGACCCTGCTCTGCCCACAAGTCTGCCCCGATCCACTCACCTCCATTGTCCTGAGCCCCAGCTAGCCTTCTGTCCCTCTATACGCTCGCCCTCTGCTCCCCCACCTTCTACACATCTGACGGCAGAGGCTCAGGCTGGGAGTGGGGCTGGGCAGGGCCTGTGGCAGGAGGACCAGGGCAGAGCCTGTCCTGGAACATGGTTTCATCTCTAGCAGAGAAATCTCTCAAGCCAAGAGTCCACAGCTCTTGAGAGATCGGGAGACTGGCCTCCTCGTCAAAGTGAATGAGAACATTAGGTGTGATGACCAAACAGTAGTGGGGACTTGTGGACTGGCCTTGAGCAGGAAGAGATTCAGCTTTTTGAAATGTCCCCTAAGGAAATAAGCCGCTCTGCAGAGAAAACATACCCCCCCACCAAACCATCACATGTGAGTGGAGTAGGATTCTGAACAATTGGGGGTGGGATGCAAGCCTCAGTGGGTGGCCACGTGCATTGCAAGCAGGATGATCAGGTTTGCAGAAAGCAGCAGTTATTTGCTGGGCGCTCTTGGCCATGTTGATTGGGAAAAGCCCAGCTTAAAATGATCTGAGCAGTGTGAGCCTGGCAGGTCAGCCCAAAGGTATACAAAGAACAGAAAACTGGAGGGAATCTCACCCACGATTTGGGTGAGTAATACACGGCCAACTAGTGTGAGTTTCTAGAGCACCTCATAGGGCTAAGCAAGTGTTAATGGGGATTATTCCATTCAGCTTAACCTGGGAAGGGGGATACTATGTATACACCCATTTTACAGAAGAGGATACTGAGGCAGAGAGGGTCAGAGATTGTGCCCCAAGGTCACACACTGGTGGGTATTAAGGGCTGGGAGCAGGATCCAAGTGTGGGGAGTCTGATCCACCTGAAACACGCCCTGCCACGGCCTCCCCATCATTGCTCTGCTCGGGTCTGGGGGGCTCTAATGGTTTTTGTATTTTAACAGCTTGGAATGTCACAGATTTTCCTTAATGAGAAGGTCTCACCTCCCCACCCCCACCATGGGAAGGTCTTACTTTCATAATGGGCATGAAAAACAAGAAACAATACACCCAGGGGTCTAGATAGGAAGGCTGAGGGTCAGAGGGGAGAAGAGCAGACAGAGGGCCTCCTGCACACCCAGCCAGGCCAAATGGTGGGGCGACAGGGGACACAGCTGGAGATCCCTATTCCTCTTTTTAAAACATTTTTTAAAAAGATGTTATTTATTTGAGGGGGCAGGGGCAGAGAGAATTCCAAGTAGACTGCGCTAAGCACGGAGCCCGAAGCAGGGCGTGGAGCCTGCTTTGGGGCTCGATCTCACAACCCTGAGATCATGACCTGAGTTGAAATCAAGAGTCGAATCCTCAACCAACTGAGTCACCCAGGTGTCCCAGGGCTTCTCTCTTTTTTAGAATTGAGGTAAAGGGGTGCCTGGCTGGCTTAGTCAGTAGAATGTGCAACTCTTGGTCTCGGGGTTGTGAGTTCAAGCCCCATGTTGGGTGTAGAACCTACTTAAAAATAAATAAGTAGGGGCGCCTGGGTGGCTCAGTTGTTAAGCGTCTGCCTTCGGCTCAGGTCATGATCCCAGGGTCCTGGGATCGAGCCCCGCATCAGGCTCCCTGCTTGGCAGGAAGCCTGCTTCTTCCTCTCCCACTCCCCCTGCTTGTGTTCCCTCTCTTGCTGTGTCTCTCTCTGTCAAATAAATAAATAAAATCTTCAAAAATAAAAAAAAATAAAGTAAATAAGTAAAATTGAGGTAAAATTCACATAAAATTAACCATTATCCATTCTTTTTTTTTTTTTTTTTTTAAAGATTTTATTTAGGGCGCCTGGGTGGCTCAGTTGGTTAAGCGACTGCCTTCGGCTCAGGTCATAATCACCGAGACCAGAAATCAAGTCCCACATCGGACTCCAAGCTCGGCAGGGAGCCTGCTTCTCCCTCTGACCCTCCCACCTCTCATGTACTCTCTCTCTCTCTCATTCTCGCTCTCTCAAATAGATAAATCTTTAAAAAAAAAAGATTTTATTTATTTATTTGTGCACAAGTCTTTGAGAACCTTTTCAGTTTTCTTGGGTCTATACCTCGGAGTGGAAAAGCTGTGTGTTTGATATCACCACGTGTGACTTTCTGAGGCAGTACCTGATTGTTTTCCACAGTGGCTGCACGCCCCGCCCCTCCTTTGGCAATAACACTCCAGTTGCTTCAAAACGACCCTGCATCTGAGATCTCGGAATGGGACGGAGGGATCGTAGCGTAAAAGAAGGGGACCCAGGAGACCCTAGAATATGCTGGTCAAGGGCTCTGGGATCTGAATGCCTGGGTCCCAGTTCCGCTTCTCTGCTCACTCCGGGTACGGCTGGCAGAATCATGGCTCCCAAAGATGTCTTCATCCTAATCCCTGGAACCTTGGAACAAATATGTTAACTTACCCAGCAGAAGGGACTTTGCAGACGTCATTAAGGATTCTGATGGTGAGATCATCCTGTGGGCCAATGTAATCCCAGGGGTCCTCGTGAGAGGGAGGCCAGGAGGGTCAGGGTCAGAGAAGACCAGGACGGAAGCAGAGACTGCGATGAACAAAGGAATGTGCGTGGCCACTAGAAGCTAGAAAAGGCAAGGAACGGATTGTCCCCTAGAGCCTTCAGAAGGAACACAGCCCTGCCGACCTGTTTTAGACTCTGACCTCCAGAACCGTAAGACGATAAATTTGGATTGTTTCAAGCCACTAAGTGTGTGGTGGTATGTTATAGCAGAAACAGGAAATGAGTGCATTAGGTGTGTGACTTGAGCTGGTTGCTAAACTTTTCAAGGCGGCACCTTTCATACCTGTTAAGTGAGGAGAATGGTAAGAGCCACTTGAGGGTTGCCTCGAGGACACACCCAGTGGTAGATGTGTGGTGTTCAGTGTGGAGCCTGACACTAGCTGAGGTGTTCTCCCCTGCTAGACCACAAGCACCACAAGCACCAGAAATTGTGTCCACCTGGCTCACGGCCAACCTCCGGTGCTGAGCAGTCTCCGGCCCCCGGTTGGGCCTGGACGCGCCTGTGCTGAAGGCAAGGAGTGAGAGCTGCCTTTCTGGCCAGCGTCGGGGCCCCAGGTCCCCAAGTTCCGGGGGAAGAGCTTGTTTGAGAGAGAATAATCATCTTCTCGTAAGGATTATCCTGAGGATTAGAGCAAACAGGGATACAGAAGACTCCTAGTACAGTGCCCGGAAAATCCCACCTGCCCAGGAAAGGGAGGAATGGAAACCACGTTTCCCGCCCCTCCCTCCCACCTTCCCTTCCTACTGTCTTCTTCCCTCCCTCCTGTCTTCATTCATGAGGTCCGCAGAGGCCCAGGGCACACTGTGTTCCAGGCTGCTCATCTGGTCTACTGAGAGAAAGGGAAAAATCCGCCCATGAAGAGGCTTAGGGGGCCGTGGCTACCTCCCTGGGTCCCGCAGCACTTGCTGCTGTCGGGAGGCTGTAAGCACACCTGCTGGGCACAGGCCCCGCCCTCCGGCGTCTGGCCACCCCCTGGGAAGGGTGGGACTGGTTGCCAAGGTGCAAGGGCCTCAGGTGGCAACTTTCGCGGATCCGGAAGCAGGAAGTAGTTGGTGTTCTCCGGACCAGGGACCTGCCTGGCTGGGGGAGCTCGGAGGCTGGTGGGGGTCTGGGTGGGGGGAGAGGGAAGGGACAGGGCAGGGGCCGAGGGGTGGCGTGGGAGGGGGGCAGGGGCAGGGCAGGGGCTGGACTGCGGGAGGCCTGGATGCAGCCGAGCTCCAGAGAACAGGGTTCTGAGGCAGCCCTGGGGGGCCGGGGCAGGTGGCACCCAGAGGCCTCAAGCTGAGATGGACTTGGCGGAAGACCTGGAGAAAGAGCTGGAGACCACAGCCCAGGAAGTGCTGGGGAAACTGAGGAGCCATGAGCTGTTCCAGTCCAACTGGGACACTGCTGCCTTCATCATCTTCCTCATTTTCCTCGGTGAGTGCGGCCTTGGCCCCCGGCCCCTCTTGACCTCCTGTCCTAGACCTGGCCGAGGGCCATATCTGGGCACCTGTCCCACCCCCAGGCACCGTGCTGCTCCTGATGCTGCTCGTTTGTACCCACTGCTGCTGCCACAGCTCCTGCAGTCGCCGCGCCTCCAGACCCCAGAAGGTGAGCCCCGAGCAGGTGAGCCCCGAGCAGGTGAACCCCACTGGCCCCCGGGGCTGGGCAGGTGTCAGGGACAGTCTGGAACTGCCCTGGGGAGAGGAGGGTGTTGGGGCTCCTGTGGAGAGGGGCCAGCAGGGCACACACGAGTGAAGCCTCTCTTGCAGGAACACCCCAGGGGAGTGGATAACTTGGCCCTGGAACCTTAACACGGCGAGCCCACCAGCCCCCCCCCGCCTGTGTCCTGCTGGGCAACAGTAACAAAGCCTTGTTTGCCCAGAGCCTGAGTCTGGAGTGTGTTCTGAGCTTCCCGTCAGGGGTGGGCAGTGTGGGCGCTCACTGCTTTCTCCGGATGCCCACCTGCTCCCTCACAGCTCCAGGTCACACAGCAGCTGCTGACAGGAGGCGAAGCTGGGCTCCAGCTCAGGGGCCCAACCCTCAGGCCGAAACCTTGTCCCCAGCCCACTCAGTCCCCTAGCGGCCTGAGGACCCCCTCAAAGGTGGGACAGGGAGGCCAGAGGCTCCATCATTGGGTACCCCCCCCAGGTCCTGACTATTTGGGATCCCCAGCCTGGTCTTTACTCAGACAGACAGACAGACAGACGCTCCAGGTAAAGTCAGATGATCTTTATTTCCTGGAGGCCTTGTCAGGGATATGGAGCAAACACATTCAAAGGCACCACAGCTGGCGGTGGATGGCTTCTGTCTGCCCTCCTGACTCACAGCTTAGGGCCACCATCCACTCCTCACCCTCCACTGGAGGGGGGGTGTGCCACTGCGCGTACCATCCTGGGCAGCTCAGAAGGCAAAAAAGGAGGGGGAAGGAGAGCCCTGGGCCTGGCGCCACCCTCAGTCCAAAGGTTCCCACTGTGCAGGGAGGGCAGGGTTTGGAATGTGGGCCACCTCTGGGCTCTGCCTTCCTGACCCCCCCGCCCCACCTTCCTGACCACCCCCTACAAAATGAAAAGCAAGTCAGCATCCCTGTCTCTCAGTGGTTCCAGTGTTCATTTCCATCTGTGCAAATGTGATGGGCAGGATGGGGAGAAGAGGGAAATAAATAATAGCCCAGGCTGCCCGGTTCTGGCTCTGGCCAGCATTCTTGGGGGGATGGGTGAGGGGGACAAGGGCCATTTCCCTGGGGGTCAGGCTCTCGGGTGCTCTGCTCAGAAAGGCCTGTAGCTCCAGTAGCTGGAGAACACGGAGATCTGGGGAGGGAGAGAGGTGGGGGGACATGGTGAATGGAGGTGTTAGGGGGCTTCACCCCTGCTGAACCCTCTGACCCAGGTGAGATTTCAAGGTCATTCAAGGGCAATGTGTCAGGGGGAGAGGGTATTGTTGCTCAGCCACATTGTGGCCCATCTGCCTGGTGTGTGTGGAAGGTACAAAGGACCTTAAGATTTGGGGGTGCTTTGGGAGTGTGACAAGAGTCCTTGGAATCCCTCCAAAATGAGACGGCTTAGCAGCCTGCTATCTGGCTGACCCCATCTGTCTGAGAGAGAGGCCTGCCCCGCCCCCACAGTCCCCACCCCACCTTATCCTTGAGCTGCTGGCAGAGCTGCAGGGACACAGTGAAGAAGACGAGGGCGTCGTTGAGCCATGGGATCACACACTCCACCTTGTGCACGTGGCTCACCTCCAGGCGCTGGGAGCCCCACTCACTGGGGGGAGAAGGAGGGTCCCTGGGGGTGGCCTGACCAGCCCGCCCCCCCAGCCCCCAAGGTGCAGAAAGTTGGGGCGGGCAGGGTGCTCCAGGGTCCCCCCCCCCTACTTACAACATGGCCCCAGGGCTGTGGAGCACAGCGCCTCCAGCTGGGCGGAAGTTCTAAGCAGAAGAGCACCAGACCCAGTCAGGCCCAAGAGGCTGCAAGGCACTTGGGGGTGGGGGGCAAGTGGGGTCCCCCTCACCTTGGTGGAATTGGGCTGCAGGGCGTGCAGCTGGTACACGGTGAGGCAGAGTTTGTTGAGGTTGATGTAGACGTTGACAAGCAAGTCGGAGGGCAGGGCAGGGGCAAACATCCGCTGGGGACGAGGACCGGGCAAGCAGGTGGGATGAGGGGCCAGGCAGAACCGCCTGGGGGACCCCATTCCCCAGCCTATAGACTGGGGCTTCCAGACTCTTCCCGGTGCCCCGGGTAGCTTCCTGCACCAGGCTTGGGAACCACTGACCCAGACCAGGGGTATCTGGGGGATGCAAGATGGAAGCCAAGGACCTTATCCCAGAAAATTGTGGCATAGACCTAGACCTCCGACTGACAACAGTTTGGGGTTTCCAGGACCCCGTCACACCCCTGTGTCCCTCCCAGGGGGCAAGCTGGGCTCCTCAGCGGCATTCCCTCTCCTGGAGCAGGGGCTGCCCTAAGGCACTGACCGTGAGGCCACTCGCAGCGATCTCAGGCAGAGTAAGGGTGGCCGGGGTGGTGAGCCGGTTGCGGGCTCTGGTCAGTTGCAGCATCACAGCATCCATCAGCTGTGGGGAGGGGGCCAGTCATAGCTGCTGCAAGGGCAGCCCCCGCCCTCCCGCATAGGTACTGACCAAGTCATGGTAGCTCCCAGCTCCTGCCCCGGGTGGTCACACTCTCAAGGCCTGAACCCCTACAGTGTGGGGCTTGTTAAAGGTGCAGATATTTGGGCTCTAGCTGCGGGTGGGGGACTGGACGTCTGCACTGTTCACCATCTGTCCAGGAGGTTCTATTGCATGGGATCCTGGGTGCTGGTCCAATGCGGAATGGAAGATGGAAGATCCCTGGAGTTAGTCCCAAGGGCATGAGGGCTTTGTGGATGGGGGTGCAGGCAATGAAGGAGCTTAGAGAAGAGGACTTAATCCCAGTTGGGTGCAAGGAGCCAGGGAGGGCTTCCTGGAGGAGGTGATAGGATGGGTAAGTTGAGGTCTTAAGGTGGGCACCAGACCGTTTTCAAAGGTGAAGCTCCAGAGAGGTAAGGTCACATAGCTAGTGAATAGTGGAACCATCTGGAACTCATCCTTTTCCTTTGCCACGGACCAAAGCTCTGGCCTGAACTCCCCAGAGCCCCAACTTCCACTGCTTCAGATGTTGCGGTGGGGGTGGGGGTGACCTGGCTTCTAGGAAAGGGAAATTTTGGATGGAGGCACGGGGGCTGCACTGCCTACATCCAGGGTGGTCCCAGTTCTGGGAGGGACTTTAGTCCATCTAGTTCTAAGTTTTCATATGAGGACCCAGAGGTCCAGAGAGGGTAGGTGAATCACCTACAGACACAGAGCAAGTCAGGGACAGAGCTAAAGCACGAGTTTGGGGCATATAAGAGCAGCTCTTCCCTCCACACCATGTGAATTCACTTTGCAAATCACAAGGGTTTCCCTATGGCTAGTAGAGCTGCTAGCAGCTGCTATTCACTGAGCATGTGCCAGGCAGGGGCTGCTCCACCTGCATCATCCCAACTGCTAGTGGCGACACCATGGCCCCCTTTTATAGGTGAGGCTACTGAGGCACAGAACGGCTAAGAAAGTGACCTGGGGTTGCACAGCTTACAGTGGAGGCCCTGGGATCAGAACCCAGGTCTGAGTCTGGAACCCGGGCTGTGACTCATTTGACTGTGTCTGCTTGGATATGTGCACACTGAGAGATGATGGGTCCACCATCAGCTGCACCTGAGGATGTGGGGGCAGAGCTCTCCAGGGGCCTGGTCAGGGGTCAGGGCCAGAGGTAGGCGTAGGGATCCTGCTTCTCCTGTTCCTGTAGGCAGCTCACCTTGAGGACCTCTGCTCCTGTCCTGAACTGGTAGCTTTCATCCCGGTTGGCAAGGAGGTAAATGGCCTGGCTTACGTGGTTCCTGGCATCCTGGATCTGAAAAAAATGCCCACTGAGGGGTCAGTGGGCTGGGCCTCAGGAGGAAGAGATGCCATCTTCAGAGAAGCCACAGTCTCCAGGGCCCCAGATGACGGGCCCTCACCCCGAGGTATTGCCTGCCTGACCCTTCCCCGCCAGCTGTCCTTTCTGTGCCCCCCGAAGCCAGGCCCTGACTGGGTGCTGGGCACATGGCACAGACTCTGGCAGGCCTGCCATCACACAGCTCACCTTCTAAAGGAGAACAGATGGTAGCAGAGCAAAGGCACAAGATAACACACTGAGTGACTTGCACAAGGACAAGAGGGTGACTCTGCAGGATGGGGGAGGAGGAGCCTCTTTAGCTGGAGGTCAAAGGAGGCCCGAGGGAGATGCCTCTTGGGCATCACCCAAGTGATGAGAAAAGCAGCAAGAGAGGGCTCCAGGCAGAGCAAGGAGCATGGGCAAAGGCCCTGAGGTGGAGGAGCAGGGTCTAATCACACAGGAGCTGGTAGGGAGCATGGACTTTGTCCCCAGGAGCCAGTGGAAGCCCCTGGAGGCTCTGGGAAGGGGAGTTCCTTGTTCCAGAGGATCCCTGTGGTTCCCATTGGGGCCCAGGGGCCTACAGACAGAATAGGTTCTCACCTCCCTCTAGGTGAGGCTCTGGAGCCCCAGGCACTGCCTGCGCCAGCTTTGCTGCTAGGAAACACCCTCCCAGGCTTGCTGTGGCCTTAAGTCTCTCATGGCCGCACCAGGAGGCCTCAGTGCTGCTCAGGCCTGCCCCTGCCTGCCTGAGCTTGTGGCTTGAGCCCTGGCAGGGGAAGGGCCCAACTACCTGCTGCAGCTTCCACTGCTTGTCCTCTCGGAAGGCGAAGTGCAGCAGCTGGTTGTTCCGGGGTATCTTCAGGTTCACGTCCTGACGGGCAAGAGTGTATAAGCAGGAGGACTGCCCTCCTGCTTCTGGCCACTCTGAGACCTTGAGCAGGGGGCAGACACGGGGTGTGTGTGGTGGCTCAAGCCCCAGTCATTCCACAGGGCAGAAGGTCTCCCAGCACCTTGGCCATTTGGGGTGTGAACAGGGAGGTCAGGAAACAGGAACTCAGGCCCAAGAGGAGCCACAAAGAAACGAAAGGGAAAAGAGAAAGGGAAAGGTGGCCTCAGCTGGGAGGAGGTGTGACTGTGGGCAGAAAGGGAGCATGGATACAGGCCAATGGACTGAACATCCACTGCTGGAGGAGAGGCACCTTCCCCCACATCTTGGGGCCTGGCACAGACGGAACTCAGGTGTTGGCTGATTCCACTTTGAATTGGGGCCAGCCTAATCCCGCCATTGCCCACGCTTCACTGGGCCCAGACTCAGGGCCAGGCTGTGTGCAAAGCATCCCTCTTCCAGCACCTCTCACTGAAGCCACACACCAATTCCAGAGGAGGTTTGGCGGGGTGGGTTGTTATTTCACAAATGAGGAAACTGAGGCCCAGAG